TAACGTAGATACGTATACCGACGTATATCTTCCGCACGAAAATTCACCTCCGAGCCTCCGAGATTGGTCTAACGAACGGCGCAACCAACAATCATCGGAAAGATCATGCAAGAGTTATTATTGGAGCACGTACGTCTTGCAGAGAAGCCTCTAAAAGAGCTTCCACGGGGACAGAAAACAAGATGTTTGAAGGATTTATCTGAGCGTACGTGTCCCGATTCGTTCTCGAATCGGTTGACAAGTTCCACGGGGAATGTGAAAAGTGCGCGACGCCTGTGTGTCACGTACGGTGTACGTCAATGTTTTTTTTTTTTTCGAAACGGAGCAATCTTCGCGCCATCGAGCGTGATTAAAATTTCGTCCCCGTGACGTAGAAGTCGAACGTCCGAGGGACGAGATTTTTTTCTTTTTCTTTTTTTTTTTTTTTTTTTTTTTGTTGTGAAACAATAGGCGGCAAACTCGAGCGAAATAACGCTTCTTAACGCGCTCGATTTCGATTGTCGTACGCCGAAAGTCTCGACGTACGTGTGAAAGTTGCCTCGACGAGCAACGCGTTGGCTGCAACGCGCCGGTTGCAAGTTTATGCGTTCACCCATGGCGGGCCGAAGTGCTTTCGCTTGTTTCGGCGAGATTCATTGTATAATACGCATGTATAATACGCGCGTTGTTGGAAGAAAAAAAAAAGAGAGAAAAATTAAAAAATAAAATTGTCCCGGCGCTTTATGCCGCATTTAGTGCTTTACGTTGTCGCTAGCGCGTTAAGCGCGTCGAAAGTTTTACGGACGCGATTATTCGTTTAATCGAACTAACGCGACGGCCAACGCGTTGATTTTAACGTCGTTGCTGCATAAGGTTCGACTCGATTCATGCTGAAACGAATTTACGTATCGAGTTCACGCGTCAGAGTTCAATTCCCACCGTTGCCCGATTAGCAAGATTGTTCTGTTCTTTCTTTTTTTTTTCTTCTTCTTCTTGTTAGGAATTTCAAATGACGAGTAATTCGTTCACCGCGGTTCTTACTTTGTAACAAGGCCTTTAAAAGAAATGTATTGGCTCAGGTAGTCTTCTTGCAATATTTTCGTGAAAATAAATGACACATCGACGGAATTGTTAATTGTTTCCAGAGTGTTATATAATAATAATACGAGTGACATGAAAATTCGAGAGTCAAAACGGAGATATCGACATATCGGGGGTTTCTTTTTTGCAGCTCTACGATATTTAAACGGGATATAAAATATTTTTAACAGTTCAAAGACATCACTCCAGTACTTACAAAAGGATATTTTGCAATGTTTCTAGCAACATACCAGTTGATACTTTTTCGACCCTCGAATCTTTATGTTTCTTTATACTACTATTGTTATACAACTCATTATTGAAAATTGCTATTGTGCACTCTTGTACGCAACGAGCTACAGGGTGGGCCAACAATCACTCTCTATTAAAATAAATCCGCAATTTTTTTATTCTATATCTTTCCCAACATCCGAAAGAAATAATTTCTAAAACATAATGAAAAGAGAATCACTTGAATTCAATTTAAAATTAGTAGGATTAGTTTTTTTCTCATATCTTGATGTGTTATTTAAAAAAAAGAAAAAACAAAAAGAAAACGAATGATAAGAAACTTTTGCCTCATCATATTATATTTATGGAAACAGATTTTGCCAGCACGTCGTTTGTTTTCACAAAGATATCGTCAAAAAAGTGCCAATACCACTTGCAATTTTCCCACTCCATTGATAATTATCAATTCATTTCGAACATCCGAAAAAGAAAAAAAAAAAAAAAAAGAAGAGAAAGAAAAAGAAGAAAATGTCGCGAACACGAGTCTAAGAAAAGAACATCCGTGGTTATATGTGTCGAATTCGGTGAATTCTGTACTTTTCGTTCGAATTCGCACTATCCTATATCGTGCTCGTTCGCTATCACGACGTTGACTATCACCCAGTACGTAGACAAGGCGTCGCGTGATGTACCTAGAAACACTCTAACGCGACCTTGCTGATCTTAGATACCGTGGCTTAGCCGGCGATACGACACGTACATGAATTATCGAGGCGCGATGATCGCTACGTCTCGTAGCGAGGAGGCCAGGTAGCGCGAACGAATCGACGCGTCTCGTTTCCGCAATTCGCTCCTCTGCTGCTGCGACGATCGTCTCGAGGACACGATCGGACGTCACCACCACCGCGGCACCCGTTCCGATCGTTCGTTTGTCTCGAATCGATCGTAATATCTCGCGCGGATCTTGCGAGATATCCTGAATAATCACACCAGAGTCAGAGGATAGAAACAGATAAAGAGAGAGAGGGAGAGAGAGAGAGAGAGAAGAGAAGAGAAGAGAAAAGAGAAAACTAGAAATGGTGCTCCGAAAGCTTATGCGTCTTTCTGGCGTTCGTTGTACTCGCGATTCCCGCCGTTCTATCGTCTCCGGATGTTAAAAGGATGAAACGAAGAAACCACGACGTTAATGTTTATGCGCTGTTTCCAATGTTCTCCTCCTGCGGCTCCCTCCTCGCGAGCGACCAAGGAGAATCGACGTAAACGAACGAAAAAAAAACAAAAAGAGAGAGAGAGAGAGAAAGAACCAAGCGAAAGTGAAAAAGAAATATATACACCAACACACACGTACACGCGGAAAATCGCTAAGAAAAGGAAGCTCTCTCGCGCACACCACACACGCAAAGGTATCGTACGCCGCTCGTAAGAACACACACACACACACACACACACACAATGTCCATCGTTGGTTGCTCGAATACACGTTCGAGCTGCGATCTCGGCGACAAAAGAAAAGAGAGAAGAAAAAAAAGAAAAAAAAAGAAAAAGACGAAAAGAATGAATGACGTGCAACGTTTATAATTTGACGGTGTTGTTGTTAGCGGGAATTTTCGCGTGAGGAAGTAGAGACAGTTCGGTGAACGTTCATGTTTCTTTTTTTTTTTTTTTTTTTTGCGTAAATCCACGCAAAAAGATGTTTAGAAACGCGTCGAAACGAAACACGACGGTTGATTTTGACCGCGAGATTCGCTTTCGAGCTTGTCGGTCGCAGCTTGCGCGTATTATTCGACGGCGTGTAATGTAGTTCGATAAGATGGTTACGACAGCGTGGCGAAACAACAAAAGAGAGAGAGAGAGAGAGAAAGCAATGTTCGATGCGATACACGCGTTTGTACCGCGTAATCGTTGTGACGCGATTAATAAATCATCAAGATCTCTCATCTCGTTTTTGAGAAAATGAAATCGGAGAGAAAGACTTGTCCGTAAACTAAACTTCACCACGTTGACACGCGTTCTTGATCATTATGGGTACTACCGCCTTGTTTTGTGTAAAATGACGTTCTTCTGTTTCGGTTCTTAGGCGAACGAATGCATATCATAGTTGTAAATTAACGATTTGTGAAATAAAAGCTGCAAACTGTTTGTGTTAACAATAGGTCATTGAACCTTTGATGTCTTTCTTGACGCCTGACTCCGCCTCTGTGTGTCTCACAGCGTAGAAACAGCTTCTCGTCGCTTGCTAATGACTCTTCTTGCTCCCTGAACGTGGTTCGCTCTCGATTTTCTTCTACCGAACGTTTAGTATCGTTCCAAACTCCTTGCCGCCTCGTTTATGAATCAATCATGAAGAACGCGTGGACATAATTGCGACATACTGCACACACGGGGTCTTCGTGGTTCGAAGGACGCATATTTATTACATGTGCAAAAGCTATTAAAACGCTTCTATTTATTTCTCTATACATTATCTCTTCATATATTTATCGCGTGCATTTCGTTGATATATTATTATATCGTTATTATTCACGATAATAAGATTGAAAATTCATAACAATCTCGTCCATTGTATGTTTAATAATTGTTGATTCTTAATTTTCAGGACGAAATGAGAAATTAAGAGAATTAAATGATTTTCAATTTGAATTTGGCTCGTCGTTCGCGTATATACGTCCATTGAAAAGTAAAATGTCCTGACTTGTACAATTAATAGTAAAATAACCGCAAGGCAAGGAGTCGACTGAAACTACACTAATTATCCTTGATTTTTTAATTATTATTTGGCTTGTAATTATTATTTAATTCGAACTGATTTAACAAATATTAAGTTACATTGTATGTATATATATATTTTGTACTACCACTTCGATGTCCGTATAAAAGCCGGCGAAACGAAGAAGTATCTAGCGCGCTAAGTATGCAAACACGATACTGGTAAGTTTATCCTATTTTGAGAACAATTCTTTATCTATTTTCACGATGTACATTAATATCGCATGTCCTCATACATTTCTACTAAATTTTTTGCTTGCATCTGAACGTAGATAAAATGTTTAAGATGAAAAAAGATAAAAAAACGCATGTTATGGTGTTATGGTTGATACCCTTGATCTTCAAGATCTTCAGGATCGACGATCGGTGAGTTCAAACTACTCGGCTAGGGCCGAGTTGATCTGCCAGAAAGTGAAAGCTTCTAATTTTCATCCGAATCCATTATTGTACAATCCCTTAACCCTTTCGCTACGGAAAATTTTGACACGTGGCACGCAGCAGGAGTTCAATCGCGAGGTACGAAACTGAGAACGACGAAAATTTTCGTCCGAAAGTATATTGGAATAATCAGAACACTGGGTCGCACTACGTTAAACCAACGTTGTTTGTTTATTCGTATTCCGTATTGAATTGTTAGTGGACTAAAAATTTAACAGTAAATAATAATTTATTAATCTAGTAAAGTGTGGTACAATCCGAAACGATCCGAAACGTAAGACTACATCAGATTTCTTGCATTCTGTTACGTTTTCTACACACTTTCGCGTTGCATTTCTTCGAATTCTTGTGCCATTTGCACGCACGCAGACGGAAAATGCGTTTTCGTCAAACGAAAAGGCTCATTATTAGTATTTTCATCGTTAGTATTCGATTTATATGTATATGAACTGTTCTACTTGAACTGTGCTTTTGTAAAATTTGTTTCGATGAAATGTCAATGTAAACGCCTTTAGTTTCGGCGGACCGAAAGTAGGCGAAGCGCCAACGGGGGGTACTCGAAAGCAAAACTTTCAAAAGCTGGCCTTTAAACGCCAAACCAGTGGCCAAAGGGTTAATCCGTCAATCATCGATTGCTCGCACCTCCACGTCAACCACGTCCACACACTATAAATAACGGTGAAACCATGCTCCAAAAATACCCTCGTCCTCCGGTTGATCGACCATTGACGGAGAAAAGCAAGTGATCGCGCGACGTGGATGGGCGACGATGAATTCCGTCTAACGGACGACGATGATTTCAGGTGTCGCTGGCCCTCGGGTTGGAGGCAGGCGGTTGGGGCGCCCTGGTGGAACGCACGAGCGGCGGAAGCGGCGGTTCCCTGCTAGGTCACGGCGGTTTCGCCGGTCTGGCGGGATTGGCGCGTCGTTGCGGCGTCTGTCTGGCTACGTTCCCTTCCGCCTGGTTGCTGGAACGGCACGCGTTGCTGCAGCACGCCGGCCAAGCCAGCGATGACAAACCGTTCACCTGCGAGCAATGCGGCCAACGCTACCGTTACCGCTCCGCTTACGTGAAACACCGGGAGCAGAACCATCGGGCCCGCTTGCCGGCCGACAAGCTGTTCACCTGCGACGTCTGCGGCATGCAGTTCAGATACCTCAAGTCCTTCAAGAAGCACCGGCTGAACCACGCGTTGGAACGACTGCAACGTGCCCCGGAGCCGCAGAGCAGCGGCGGCGCCATGTCCGTGTCCGCGGCCGCGGAGAGGAGCGACCAGGTGTCCAGCACCGGGGAACCGTCGCAGGTGGAGACGGGTAGCGACACGACCACCAACCCCGGCGAGGAGGAGGAGACGCGCGGCACGTTCGCTCGCGAGAACGCCCGCGAGGAGAGCGTCTCGGAGACGGCCAGCGTGCAGGAGAACCCCGGCGAGGCGGTCGAGGTTCAGATGACCGAGGCGAGCGCTGGTACCACGACCGGGAACAGCGGGTCGGCCGGCGGTACTAGCGAGGTGGGCGAACCGGACGACAACGCGGTGGACGACGATCGTTCGGAGCACACGGACCCGGTGATCAGCCTGGCGCGCAGCAGCCACGAGGTGGACAGGCGCGAGCGTCGCTTCGCTTGCCCCTTCTGCGGTAAGTGCGTCCGTTCGAAGGAGAACCTGAAGCTCCACGTGCGTAAGCACACCGGCGAACGGCCGTTCGTCTGCCTGTTCTGCGGCCGCGCGTTCGGCGGCAAGAGCGACCTCACCAGGCACCTTCGCATCCATACCGGCGAGAGGCCATACCACTGCGAGATGTGCGGCAAATGCTTCGCCAGGGCGGACTACCTGTCCAAGCATCTCACCACGCACATACACCAACGCTAAACTGCGTGGATCGTACGGACGTTCCTTTCACTCGCTGCTGCGTCCTCCAACGGCTCGAACATTTAGCGACACGACGTTGGCGGAACGTGTGTCGTTCCTTACGTACGTCGAACTTTCGATCAACTTTTTTTTTTTCTTCTTTTTTTCTCTCTCGCAAAAGAGCCAACGCGACCCTTTCGTTCGTTCGCGCGATCTGGTAATTTCTGCTTAACGCGCACGCTTAACGAGCACAGAGCGACCGAGCGGAGAAACGAATTTCTCCTTTGCCGCGAGATGCTTGCGACGTGGAACGACACCTTTCCCTCCGTTCGTCAGAGATAAAACTTGATAAATACGAGACGAACACGTGCGAGCGGAGCTACGAGTCTCCACTCGCGTGGAATTCGTTCGAGCAAAGGATAGATAGAGGAGCGAGGGACGAGCAGAGGGACGAGTGAAGGAACGTTAACGTACGTAGCGGAAACGTAGTCTCCTCGAAGGCTTATTATCCGCCCCTCTCGCAGTCGAACGAGGGCGATTCCGTTCGTGAAACTACGTAGGACGAGGAGGTCGTATCGGCGTATTTAGAATTAAGATTAACGATTAAAGTAAGCTTTATCGTGCACGGATTCTTCGCGTCCTCGGATCCATCCAGTTCGAGGCTGCGTTGAACCTGCGATTCTTTTCGCGAGTTCTTTCCTCTCTTTGGTGTACGAGCGAAGGGAAGGAAACGGAAGATTCGAAAGAAGGAAAAAACGCGCGGAATGCGAGAATAAGGAAGAGGAGAACCAGGTGTATCCATCCGGCCCATTGGCCCATCGAGGCGAGTCAATTACAGAGAAGGAGTGAAACGAAGAGCGAAGAGATCGTCGGCGACGATGGTCGAATGTGCGTGATCGTTATTACCTTGTTGTCACGGACAACGTGCGAGAAGAACGAAGTGAAAATTGAAGAGAGAAGAAAGAAGAAAAGAATGAAAGTGGAGGGAAGAAATACAGGATTTCTACGTAACGTTAGTGAGACTAACTTTTTTTGTGATAAAGGATTGAAAAAAAAAAAAAAACCAAAGAACGCGACGAATGTCGACGAGCTGACGGCTCGTTTTTCTTTTTTTTTTTTTTTTTTTTTTTTTTCGTTTTGTTTTGTTTTTATTCGTCCTCTTCGTCTTCGTGCACCACCGACGAGCGATCTACTCGTTTACGTAATAGCTGTCTGCGTAATCGATGCGATTTTTATACAGTGCACGCGATAACGATCATTCTTCCGTATGCCGCGCGGTCGAGGGCGTACGTCGAGGCGACTTCTGGTTGGACGAGAAGCATCTCGCGAATGGGAATCTAGTGGAAAAATACGTAGCCCCTGGCGCACATACATCGATTTGTGGTGCCGATTTCGGTGGCGATTTAACGCGAAAAAACCTCGGTGAGATTTCACTGCGCGGGAAATTCGGGGAATAGAGAATCTTTATTTTTCGTAACTTTGAACTTGACTGAAAGCTGAAATTGGATTTTTGCTGGAGTTGTTCTTTGACCTTTAATCGCTGCTCCCTGAGAGCATATTCTGAATTATTTCATCTCGAATCACGAATATTGTCGTTTCATATATCGTGCGTATTTGAACATTGTACATCACGTACAATTGTAAGTAATTTGTTTTAATACTCTACGTCGACGCTTTCTCAACTTTTCAATCGATGGCTGCGATGTTTAAACAGCTCGATTATAACTTGCGCACAAAGTGCAGGTATAAACATCGAGCTGGCAACTCCATTAAAGAGACGACACACTTGCAGCTAGTTAAGGGTATAACTTTAGAGTTTATCGTATCCTTAGATTCTTTCATTCTTGTTATTTCATCGAGAAAGTGTTGGCACAGCGTTGCGAAAGAATGGTATCTCTGGACGATTGAAATTTATCTGTACAATGGAACTTTTGCTTGTCTTAGAAACGAAATTTTTAATTGGTCCTTCCTTGCGTTTCTTTTTGAGGGAGGCAGATTATTTCCAAGTCATCGAGTCGATACGTATACGACCGTATACGAAAGACACGATTTGTAGAATTGCAGACGGTAGCCTCGCAGAAACTAGACAAATCGTCTAATTGCCTGAACGTTCAAACGTTTAACGCGTCGCGAAATATTGAGTTTCAAGAATTAATTAATAAAACGAGAGCCGGGGACGTAATTCGCGTTGCACGTGTAACTGGAGATGATTCGTCACAAGCGGAGGATTCTCGCAGGCAGCGTCTCGCGAGGAACAATCATGTTTGCTATTCTTCCTCCGAAATTAATTAGCCACTCAAGTCGTACAGGCCAGACTGCGAATGTCACGAGTAGTTTCCTCCTTGACAATTTCACCAGCGTGTGCTCGCGCCTCGGTGTTTTCCATCTTTAAAACGAATTACACAACGTTCGAGCAGCAATAAATCGACGCTCGCCGATTCAAAATGTTCCACGGAGTAGGTTCGAAGAAGGAATCGATTTGAAAAGATAATTATCGTTTGTACGTGACAATTAAATCGAGATCGTCGGGGCTATGTAAATAACATTAATTTAAAAATTTTCCTCGTAATTCGATTAGAAATTATCGTCCCCCGACGTTGAACGTTCAGTTTTCGAAAAGTTCTCAAGAAGATTTTAAAATACGACAATTAAATCGAGAACGTGCCATTCGATATGACGCTGATTCGATAGAATTTCAATGAGTACAATTCCCCCGTAATTAATTAATTCGATTTAACGAATCTGGTTAGAAATTATCGTTTCTCGACACGTTGGAAATTCAGTTCTCGAAAAAGTAAAAAAAATTTTAAATTTAAATTGACATCATTCGGTATGACACTGATTCCAACGTGTATCATTCTCCGTACCATTTCTCCATAATTAATCAATTCGATCTAACGAATCTGAAATTAGAAATTACCCGATTTCTCGGCATCGAACTTCTCGATTTCCACATACGATAATTAAGTATCGATACTATTCGCTGATAAAATTCCAAAGAGTACCATTTCTCCGTAATTAATCAATTCGATAATTGACGAATCCGATAATTAGAGACGATCGTATCTCGAAGAGTCCGAAAGATTTCAATATATACGGGGATTGAATCGAGAACATGCCATTCGATGTGACACTGATCCAACAACATTCCAACGAGTGTAACCATGCACGAAGCACGTAGCTATGAACTTTCGCCACCGGTAATCAAAAAGGGGCGCGTACAAAGGTAGAAGAAACGGTAGGCTTCTCGTCCGGCAAGAAGGCAGCGACGCGTTCGACTTTGACGTAAATGCGAGGGATAGCCGCGAATCACAGCGGCAGGCGCTTTCCGGAAGCGTAGCCGGTGCCTTGGAAAGCCAGCCGTGTATCCTTTTTAAACCTAGCGACCTAGCAATAAAGCGTGTGTGTGTGTTTTTCCTTTTTTCTCTTTTCTTTTTTTTTTCTTTTCTTTTCTTTTCTTTACCCGTTTGTAGCCGTCACGCAGATGCAGAACGAGGACCTAAAGCCAAGTTATACTCACACATGCGTCGCCGTCGCGTTGTCTCCACTTGGTCCTTGGAGAAACCGAGCCATTTTGGCTTCTTAGTCAAATGTGTCCGTTCAGCTACATCGTCTACGTGTATATACGTATATATGTATGTCCCTGATATACGTGTGCGCAAATATATACATATACACATGCATATACACATACATATACACATCGATGAAACCATAGATCGTCCAGCGTGTGAATCTACACGGTAGATTTATCTACACACACACACACACACACACACACACACACACACACACA